TTCAGCCCTTTTAGGACTCCACAACTTCCTGTGAGTCACTGTTAACTGTGGCAGTAAAAATTGAAATTATTTCTCTACAAGCTTGACTGAAAGCTGGACTTGTATAGAAGTGCAACTGAGTTTAAAAATAACCTTTTTGTTCCATAATATTCATACGAATATAACACAAGTGCTGGAAATCGGTGGGAAGGTTGCTGATTTCTCTGAAACATAATGGACCCACTCATACCCGAGTGTGTGTGTGTGTGTGTGTGCTACCTGTAGTGTGGTGACCCTTTGTAGTCCCAGGGATCTCTCTACACCGTCAGCCAAATAAGGGTCATAGAAGATCACATTGAAGCCAAAGGCCTTGGCTCGCAGGGCGACAGCCTGGCCGACTCGACCTAGAAACACACAGTGCACACAGTGCGTGGTGCACACATATTAATACACACAGGAGCATTCAGACAAATTGCATACACATGAATACACATTCAAATGCAACATAAAAAACACTTTTGTGTTCCCTTTTTTGACTTCTGCCTTGTACAAATTACATAAGTCTCTGGTTACACACGTATGCTCATTATTACTGAAAAAGCTTCCAGACTGTACAGGGAAGAGATTTGCATTCTGCTTCTGGTTAATCCGCTTATATTTTATTGGCAGTAACTCCTTAGGAAGCCAATTTAGCTGAGCTAAGGACAAAACTTCCCAAGATGAAAAAGGAACAGAGAAAAATCCTTTGATTAAAACATTTTCCCTCCACAACAACATAAATTAGCAGAAAAAATGAACAAAATAAAAACATCTTTAGCTATGTTAGCTCTATGGGAGGAGAATTATCTGAACAAATATTAAATGGATTGCCGTTAAATTTGATACATACATTCATTCATTCTCCCTAAAGGATGAATCTGAATGTTTCTGGTGATCCCCTGACTTCAACTCTAGCGCCACCAGCTGGTTTACATTATTCTGTTTGAGTGAAATGTCTCAACCATGAAATGTGGTACAAACACTCTT